CTGAATAGTATTGCGCTGCAGGAAAATGACAAGTTTATATAACACTGAAATTAGCTGACTACAGCCATTGTCCGTAGTATTCTAAGACAGGGTAAGCAAGCAACATGTATGTTTGCAGTGAGAAAATTAAATATTATTCTTACTTATATATGGATATCAGGTTCTGAAAGGCAAATCAGATTATTTAGAAGCATAAAGAGGTATTTTCAGCAGTTTGACTCCTAAATAATTTTGCAGCGACACAGCAGAAGCTGCCAAGATCACTGCCTTCCAAGAGCATTCTCCCTTAGGAGAAGGCAGATAGCTCAGGAGGAGCACCAGACGCTCACACTGCCAGGTGTAGAGTGCAGGTTGACAAATAAAGAGGCAGGAGGGGGTTCCTTGTATAAAGTTCCAGTGGTGGTTTAGTAATACACACCCAAAGGGATTCGGGGGACAGAGAAAGAATCCAGGACAAGGAGAGTCCAGGGGTTATATGTGGGATGTGGAGGACGGTTGCATCAAATCTGAGAGCCAATGGGTTAGAGGGACCAGGGGTGGTACAAAGGTGGGGCCAGGGGAAAACAACCAACAGGGTGTAGAGGAGAAGTTGCAGGGAATGGGAACTAACGGGGAAAAACAGGGAATATTCTAGAATGGGGAAGGGACAGGGGTGATGTATTAAGGTCATTAACTAAAGAAGCAGAGAACTGTGGAAAGTGTCTCCCTGTGTCACCCTGTTCAATGTGGGTGTCTTCCCAAGGCATCCCAGTTTCTGCATCTCCCTCCCCAACCTGGGATGCAACATTAATTAGTCAACTCTGAACAGAGATGACTCCCCAGTCTTGAATACAAAGTGGTTCCTCTAAGTGTCCTTTGCAACATATTATTTTTTTCTGCTTAATAAAAAAGAAACATAACCAAACTCATTACCTTAGAAGTGCAAAGCCTGCATCATAGTTATGTTTGAAGGAATAAAGAGCATGGAAATAAAACAAACAATGTTTCTATTTCAAGAGCCACTGAACTATTGTCCCAAATTAGTTCTACTGATTTTACATTTTCCTTAAGCTAGCTAGAAAAAAAATACAAGTATCAGACAAATTTGAAGAGAATGTGCTAAAATGTAAAGATTCCCACAGGATTCCCTTGGTCCAAACTCTGTAACTAAATGATTTCATATACTTTTTAGTTAGGAGAGTTAAGACATGGAGAGTCCATTACCATAAAACCCTCAGATAACTGAGGGTTTGTAAGAAATGTTATTTGACCCAAGACTGACACTAATGACACACAGTGGAAGTCAAAGAAAAGTAAAATCTGCAACAGTGTACAATTTTTACCTTTCAGAATTCTGAATAGAGGACAATACACAGACCTGCATATTTGACAAAGATTTGTCCATTTATAGTGCCACTGAAGAAGATGTGACAGATGTCAAATACCCTCCTCTTGAGTCACCAGGGAATTCCTGGAACTGCTGGACAGCACATTAAAATTACTAGACTTGGCTAACAGAAAAAACCTCCTTATTATTACCTAACATGGAAGCTTTACACTTTGTCTTAAATCAAAGAGGAATCAAAGAGGTTTTGCATTAAGCCAACTGACAAACTGAAAATACTCAGCAACAGGTCCATTCTTTGGCATTCTTAAAGCTGATTTGTAGGCCAGTGTAAATTCCTATGAACATTATCAACAATAAAAGAGATGTTTTCAGAATAGACTTTATTATGTCTTCAGCAGACTATAGTCTGCTTTCCTATCTGCCAAAACACTGGAGGATTTTATCAACCTGGTATTAGTTTTTCAGACACTATTTTCCTTGTTTTTCATAACTCTTGTTTACAGTCCTTCAATTCTTATGGCCATAATTTTTGAGTTGGGATGGAGCCCTTAATCAGAAAAGCTAAGCATTCTATGAAAGCTTTGCTTTATTCAGCTACTACCTGAAGATTCCTTACAACTCATCCATAGGCACATGAACACATGAGAGGTTGTAAATTACTCATTGCCATGGTTTGACACCAGCCACCCAAGAAAGTTGCTCACTTTTTCTCCCCAGCCACAGCTGGGCAGATGAGACAGAAAAATTAATGAAGTCTTCACGAGTTAAGGACCAGGAGAAAACACACCAAGGGCACAACATGCTTGACTTAGAGGCACAAAGTGAATTTACTACTAATGAAATCAGAAGAGGATAATGAGAAGTAAAGTAGGCCCTTAAAACACCTTTTCTTCCTCCAACCCCTCCCTCCCACTGACAGCGCAGGGGACAGGGCGTGGGGATTTTGGTCAGTTCATCACCCAAGATTTTTTTCTGCTGCTGTGGGAGAGTTGTCCTTCCTCTAGTACACTGTGGGGTTCCCCCTATGGGAGACAGCTCTCTGTGAACTTCTCCGCTGTGGGTCCATTCTCACGAGAGCAGTCCTGCTAAAATTGCTGCACCACAAGTTCCTCCCATGGGCAGATAGTCCTCCCAAAACTGCTGTGGCATGGGTCACCCCCTTCCATGGGGTGCATTCCTCCAAGGACAGGCTGCTCCAGACTGGAAGCAGAGCCCTCTCTCTATATCAAGTCTCCCAACTGAATCACAGCCTCCTCCAGGCATCCACCTGCTCTGGCGTGGGCCCCTCCCCATGGGCTGTGGATGGATCTCCACATCCCCCGTGGATTCCCACGAGCTGCAGGGGCACGGCTGCTTCACCATGGTCTCACCACATTCTGAAGAGCAATCTCAGCTCCAGCGCCTGGAGCATCTCCTGCCCCTCCTTCTCCACTGTCCTTGGCGTTTCCATCACATGTTCTCACCTCTTCTTCTTTGCTGACTGCAAAGAAGTGCTGTGCACCCACTTTGTTTTGATTTTCTTCTTAATTCTGAGAAGCTTTACCATCACCTATAATTGGCCCAGCCTTTACCAGCAGCACATTCATCTTCAGAGCCATCAGGGACTAGCTCTGCTGGGTATGGGGGAAGCTTGCAGCAGCTTCTCACAGAATCCGCCACTACCAAAAACCAGGCCATGCAAAACCAAATATGGTTTCCTTTAGTGAAAAGAACTGGACATAGTTTTTGCTCAAACTGGCATTGTTTTATATATCACATAAAAATTGAATTTAGCTTGAAAAAAAATCTTATTTTTTTGTTCAATTAAAGGTTTGATGTAACTTCTCAACACTGGTCTGTCAAGAAGCTTCAACCTAATATTGAACTGAAGCCCCAATACAAATAACATCTTTACATAAACATGGAGGTAGACAATGGTGAAAAAAATTCAGTGACCCCAGTTTAGCACTAACTACAGGTAGTAGAATCACCTAAATGGAATCTCAGATATGTGGTTACACAGTTCTTGGGTTACAATCGGTTCCACAAAAGCTCAAAAGAACACTTATCCTGACACGCCACCAGGACAACCAGATTCTCTTGCATGAAGAAGACATTGACATGGAATTTTCCAGTAAGTTTTTCAACATGTTCTCCATATAAGACTACTTGAACACAAAAAAAAATAAACGGGCAGCTGACAGCGCACTTCATTCCCGAACTTCTCCTGGCAGTGTTTTCCGCCAGCTGAAAATTACACCAAAATATTTTCCTGCAGATTAAATACTTATTTAAATTGAATAGTGTATCTTTCTGCAAATATTGCTCTTCAAGTTTTTATTTCTCCCTGGCAGCAGACTTGGTCCTTCCAACTCTCACCCTCTCATAAAAAGTAGTAAAGATGACTTTTCATCTTTGATTTATTTCAGTACTATTCTAGGGACTGGTTTGTTGGCTCAATTTTTGTTATGAGAGCTTGAAGCTCTATGCTAGAACAGCTATCATTTAATTACCTTTTTGTGTACATGATTATGAAGAATGGGGCCAGAAAAGTTGTTTTATAGGAAATGTAACAATTGCAGAACTCCCTCTGTCACCTAACCACAAGTCATATGATGGGAGACAAAGCAAAAAACAAGCAGTGGTCCTTTAAACAATGCTAAACCAGGCTCCCTTAATATGTTTACTCTAGGTTATGAATGACTCTTTTCTTTGACTTCTCTTCACCAAAATGGGCAAGTTTTATCAGCTCACAGCTTCTTCCAACAGTTACAGTTCACTCGCACTTACTGCAGCCACATATCAAAAGCACATTCCATTTACCTGAAATTCAGAATGGATGCAAAAATCTTCACTGATACTTCTCAGGAAAAGGAGCCATACTGCCCAGAGTATTTTACTCTGAATTATTAACATAATGCTTAAATACATCCGCTATTTATGAGTTGCAATTTAAGTATACTGTCCATTTAGCTCACTTTCAAGTACACAATTAAGACTTTACTCTTTTTGAATAATATATAGCAGTAAAATTAGTCTACAAAATTAACAGTATTTCTCTAAGTAAATCGTTTTGCAAAGATATTCACACAAAGAATGACAGCCCACTTTTCCACAATGAGAAATTCCCTAGTATTGCCCAGTCAGTTCTGATGCCCACTAACTTGGGTACTAAGGCTCCTATCCTGTAAGCAGATGTTAGAAGTATTATCTTCCTGGATTTAGTGGGAAGACTGTACAAGACACAGTGATCAAGCACTGTGTGCTAAATAGCAAGCCATGAGAAGCCTGTAAGCTTGTTCAGCTGTGCAAAACATAATGACCTTGCTCTTTTCCTTGGGGACCCAGTGATATGCATCTTTGTAGCATTCTGTATTTCACAGAAATCTAAAGACAACTCTTTACAGACTCCTTACCTCATACAGGTCCTGCAAGCTTAGGAAAATTCTTGGCTATAAGGCACCAAACTTGTTCTAAAGCAAACTTTTCCACAAGAGATAGCAGAAGTGTATTTATATCAGTCATAATCTAAAAACTTTCTACTAGATGCAACACAGGGCTTCAACTTCTCTGAAGATAGCTCTGTAAAAAACATGAATTTTCACTAAATTGTGAGTGTAGCCACTGACCTTTAGCTCCAGTTCATGAAACTGCAATGACATATAGCTGATACAGAGGCAACAATCCACAGTGTGCTTCTCAAACTTTTATTAACTGCTTCAGAACTCTTTAACAGATCCTTAAATCATCATAACACAAGATTGAAACTTTTTAACTGACATGTTACCAAAAAAATGAACAAAGTTTAGGTGAACCCGTACATAAAAGCTTGTTCCCGAACTGGGTCTTCACAAGATTATCTCCTCATACAACATTTAACTTACAGCAAAAAACAGTACAAACTAGTTTAATCCCATGACTCAATTCCTCTTGCTGAACAGTTTAATCCCATGATTCAATTTCTCTTGCTGAAGAGTCCATCTCTACTTTTCCTGTATTCATGTTGCCTCTGTATTTCTAGGAAACACAACAGGTCCTAGTTTAGAATTATTAACACTTTCAATCATTTAATGGCAAATCACCACAATACAATTTTAGCTTTCTGCATGAATCTATCTCAATGTAATCTGAACACTCAAGAAGTTTTCATCATTAATCTCCTATCCATAAGGTTTTTTTTACCCTGGTGTGAAATTACCACAGTTAAGTCAACCTCAGATCTTATAATATGTGGGAATAACACTTCCCACAGTTCAAATCTCAACTTGTTTTCTTACCCAACACAAATCAGTTCATACAATTGTGGGAAAAAAACCTTTCTTCTCCACTTCATACTAAAGACTGACTGCCTGCATTACATTCCCGGTAAAATCCTTTTCCTTTGGAAAAAGGATAAAGCTCAGTAATCTCTAAGACTGCCTCAGAAGAATCACATAAGATCCTCCAACAGATTCCTCTTTCAAATTCATCATTTGATTATCAAGCGGACTCATGAAAAATTGGGCTGATAACAAATGAAGAACACACAAGTTCCCTGTGTTCTATCAGACTGATTTGAGGTGGTAACATAATTAGAACCTCACATTCTTCAACTCAAGGAGCTGGTGCACAGTATGTACGTGATATTAAGGGCAGTATTCCCAATGCAAGCAGACAGATTTCACACGAAATTCTATTCTATTCTGGACAAAGAGTCATAGTCAAATTTGGTTACTCAGAGGTTGTGAAGAACACAGATTGACTTGGACCTGGAAATGATGGCTTTCATGAAATGCTGGGAGACACTACACAAAGACTGGAGATATGCATTTGGAAGCAATCTAGTGAAATCCGCCTCTGAAAGCAATCCAGTAAAAAAGCAAAAATAAAGTGTCCTTGAATTAGAACATACAAGTAAAATCCACCAAGTCAAGAATTACTCCGCAAGAAAAGGTTTGTGCAAACATACACAATGACTGTAATGCGAAGCTGTGAGTTTAAGAAGGAAGCAACATTTGTGTAACTGACATCTCATGAAGTCCCTCACCCCCAGAAAAATGATTCAGATCTAGTAAGGGGACTAACCAGCTAGGTAAAAATACCCAAACCACCCAAAGCTTTCAATAACTATTGTATGGGGAAGACAATTAATGAAAGAAAGGTCAGAGCTTGAAGTGAAGCTTCAGACATTGTGTAAGCACTGAGAGCAGTTATTTCTACTATGGTCTCAAAGGAAGGACATTTGTAGCATTTGGAAGCAACTGATCTGTGATGAAGTTCTTATGGAATCAAGACATGAAGGAAAGGCTTTCAAATAGAAGCACAGAATCTAGAATTACCAACAGTAAGAGACTAGAAGGCTTCTCCCCATCACAGACATTAAGAATTCTGACACAGACCAGACCACAGCATTTACCTAACTATAATTAGCTGAAATTTTCAGTCAACTGAGCTGCTTCACTAGATGATTCATAACCTACTAAGCAGTAGCTGTATATAATCAGCATCAGCTGATGTTACTTCATAACTGTGACTGTATAATCAGTAACTATTTACTCCCACTCTACATGGGTAGCACAGAAATTTCTGAACTACTGCTTGTATATGTTTGCATGAATGTTTTCTTCTAGAGGAATCCTAACTTTTCAGATCAACACTACAGCAGCTAATAAGAGACCAAGTCAAGCAACTTGTCTGAAATTAATTTCAGTAATACTGAATTCTCTGAAGATGCACAACTAAGAAAAGGGACACAATTATAGTCAAAACAGTTTCAGTGGTGTTAGTCTGGATATATACCACTAAACACAGTTTTAAACTGAGACAAAGCTCCAATAGCCAAGACTTTCAGTTTATTTCCAGACCTACCTTTTGGGTATTAACTGGGAGTCGTCCTCCTTCAGTCTGAAAAGCAACTTCCGTCAACCAAAAAGGAACTTTCTGCTGAGCCTATGCAATTAGGAAAATCAATTCAGAGACTTTGATTGCTTTACCAATTTGGATTAAGAATTCCGTAACTGTACCAAATACGTCACAGTTGCTCAGTACAGTCAAGTGAAATCTTAAAAAACAGAGAAAGTTCAACACTAATATCTGAAACTTACATCTGAAAGCACTTTAATTAAAGGTTGTGCAAGATGACCGTCTGAATATTTATCAAAGAAGGCAACAGCTTTTCCTGTATTTCCACAACGACCAGTTCGCCCAATTCGATGTACATACTCTTCAATGGTGGAAGGAAGATCAAAATTAATAACATGCTGAACATTTTCAATGTCCAGACCTCTTGCTGCCACTGAGGTTGCCACAAGAACTGGACGTCTTCCAGAACGAAAATCCCGAAGTGCTATTTCTCTCTCTCTTTGTTCTCTATCTCTATAAAGAAAGCAAGGGTTAGAATGGCTGTCTCTAAAATTTACAGTACTATTTAAGATATAATTTAAGTGCCATATTTCATGGAAAGAAGCTCTTGGGTGAGGGGGGACAATGAATGCAAAATGAAAAAAGACCCAAATAACTCATACACTGACCATTTTAGGTTTTCTGAATTTTTAACTGAGGAGCAGCAAGACAGAGCAACTGTCTAAACTTAAGTCTCTAGAGCAATTGAGGTTTCTAAAAAGAACTGGAGATAATTATGTATCAAACTCACTGCCTCTCTTAAGAAAATCCATTTGCTTAATTGATTACAAGTGCTTTTCCTACAGTTTTGTAGCAAGGAGCCAGAATAGAAAAGTCTACACAGGCTCCCAGACAGGCCATTTTTCACATATACTAAAAAAAACCTGTGGCCAGCCAACAGTACAGAATTTTTCTTCTGTTTATTATCCAAACAAGAAAACTAGTTATGCTCTGATATTTCCATATTTGAAGAATATTTACAGATTATCCAGTACCAAACTATAGTGGATCAGAATTTCTCTCAGGTTCTTTATTATCCAAATAAGAAAACAAATTAGAAAGCTAAATAGTGCTCTTTACGATCCTAACATGGGATACTTAGTGAAGCCTGGTATGACCACTACCCCAGAGAAGACTAGGTATCCTAACTTCAACTCATAAAGGTAAAATGAATCAGAAACCAGTAACATTCCTGACAGTTTAACAGCTTCCATTGAACCAGTTATTCTACCTATACTTTAATTCACAGTACAGTAATTCCACAGAAATGGAATTAAGAACCTCCTCCCACACGAGGTGGTTGTGAGCTAGCAATTCAGGCTTGCCAGAAATGGAAGGCCCGATCTCAAAAGGTATGTGGCTTTCACACACCTACAAATCCAACAGCCACAGGATATATACACACATTCTGCATCTGCATGCTAAGACCATTTTAGCCTTCTTCAACCTTAATATTCTGGTATCTGTCAGAACACATGGCAAGCTAAACTATGCAGATATGGCCAAACACGAGTTCTCAGTAACAGTTCTTAAAACATACAGGTGACTTTCACTTTAAAAATACTTACCCATGGATACTAGTGGCTGGTATGTTTTCTTGACAAAGAAAGCATGCAATGAAGTCTGCTTTTTTCTTGGTGTCCACAAAGACCAGGGTTCGTTCATTACCTATGTTGGACAGAAGTTTAGGTCCATTGCAGTTTGAAACATGACACCATTTTCACTATTTAGAGTAGTGCTGATCTATATTAACACCTAATGCAGGCACACATTTTGAATAAAGTCTTTAAAGTATTGCTCTAATTTCTTGCCTATTCTGAGCTAATTGAATTCAATCCATCAATTTCTGTATCAATACAGCAACTGAGTGAAGACACATACATTGTTTTTCTCCTTAATAAAAGGAGAAAACTAACATTGTTCCCTGTGACAGGTATGCATTTCCTTTCTACAGCATGCAGCTCAAAGCAGTACATTATCCTGAGCACTGAACACCAAGATTTCACAGACCATTTTTTAATTCCAAACTCACATTCTGTCTTCAGCATTAAAACTTGACATATAGAACAAATATGGAAAAATCCAAGACATTTAATAAAACACAGGCACAAACATTCATTCACACAATAATTTTAATACGCCTGTAATCCTGAGATAATACCCCCAGTTGCTGAAGTATTGTAACTGACCATATAAAGTAGAAAGCCATCTAGGAAGGTTGTCTGATAGTACTTAATAGAAATTAATAATTGACAAATACTGGGCATTAGACTAGATTCAATGACATTTACAAGTCCCTTCCAACCCAAACTATCCTATGACTCTATGAAATACCCCTACAAAAATATGCCTAAAAACCTGCAGCTCCAAGTTCTGCTTCAAGCTTCATCACCAGTCTTGTAAAGCATGCAACATGCAATAAAATCATACAGCCATGAACTTTTAAACACAAGTTTAAAGCCAGGCAAGTTTGACTTCTCTGGTGAACAACTGGCATTAAGTAAAGTTACCTGTGCTGTGTAGAATTTCTATTAGTTTATCCCTCTTGAAATACTGAGAAACTTGAAGAATATTTTGCTGAACATCACTGCATGCTCCACCCGCACATCCGACAACAACAAATATAAAGTCCGTTTTTAAAAATTCATAAGCTAGCCTGAAAAAGAGACAAAATTGAGCAACATGAAAAATGTTATGTAATTATTCTTGCTTTAAAAGCACATATTTTCATATGTTTAAGCAACACTTACAAAAAGTATTTTTATCTTCCATTTTGTGAAGAACAATGCAAGTAGTCTTGATATATATACATTTTTTAAAAGCCAGAAGAGACTGCATAGTTTGGGTCCAGCACACAAACCACTACTTGGGCTGCCTGAAGCGTGACCAGCAGGTCAAGGGATTCTAACTCTGCCTTTGTAAGACCTCAGCTAGAGTACTGCATCCAGCTGTGGCATCTGCAGCAGAAGACACATATTGGAGAAGATTCAGAGAGGCTACAACGATGATTAGAGGGCTGGAGCCCCTCTCCTCTGAAGACAAGCTGAGAGAGTTAAGGAGTGGGGATTATTAAGCCTGGAATGATCTTATTTGCAGCCTTCCAGCACCTAAAAGGGGTTTACAAAAAAGACTGAAACTTTTTACACAGGCTGATCAGACAGGAAATGTACAGGCTGGATAGAGAATGGATCCAGACTAGATCTGGAGGGAAAGACTTGGGGGTGCTGGTGGATGAGGGGCTAGACATGACCCAGCAAGATGTACTTGCAGACTAGAAAGCTAACAGTGCCCTGGGCTGCATCCAAAGCAATGTGGCTGGCAGGGCCAGGGAGGCAGTTCTGCCCCTCTGCTCTGATATTGTGAGACCCCACCTGCGTTCAGCTCTGGGATTCCCCAGTATAAGAAAGATGTGGACCTATTGGAATGAGTTCATGGAGGCCACTAAGTTGATGACAGAACTGGAGCACCTCTCTCCTATGAAGACAGACTGCAAGAGGTGAGGTTGTTCAGCCTGGGGAAGAGCAGGCTTCAGGGAGACCCTAGAGTAGCCTTCTAGGGTAAGCAACTGTATAGTACCTAGTTTCTAGCTGGGATTAAACCACAGCCTTTTAGTGGAAGATATAAAGCCTCAAATGCTAAATTAAAGTTCTCCAGTCAACTATAAAAACACATGGTTCTCTCAACTCACATGTACAGAAAGAGCTTCAACTATCAGATCAAAGATCTATGCAATAGCAGAAACAAGTTCAGGTATAAAACTAAATGTTACGTTAAAACTAAATCAGATTATATTCATTTCACAGAAATGTAGGATGATCTGAACCCAAGAGGTCCACAGAAAGCATCTTTGTGTCCAACACTATCAAAATAGTATACTATTTAAAGATGTCCTGGTAGCACACTATGGGGAAATCATTAGCTTTCCTGACTTCAGCACCAGAAAAGCATTAAATCCAGGAATGAATTGACTCCAGAAAAGAAGGGTTTTCACAATCTAAAATGTCAACTTTAGGCATTTTCAATTTCAAAAGGTTACAAGAATAACAGGGGCAAAAGAAAACTGACTCAAAGTTGCACCCAGGGAGGCTTAAACCGGCTATTAGGAAAAAAATCTTCACTGAAAAGAGTTCTCAAGCACTGGAGCAGGCTGGCCTGGAAAGCGGTGGCATCACCACCCAAGAAAGTACTTAAAAGACATGCAAGCGTGACACCTGGGGCACTTGGTTTAGTGGTTCACTTGCTGGTGCTGGGTTAATGACTAGACTTAATCAGCTCATGGGTCTTTTCCAACCTAAATGTTTCTAGGACTTTAATGTTATTATGCACTTCCAAACCATGATCTAAGCACTCAGGTTTCTGAAGTCTTCCACCAGCACTTGAAAATCCTGCAGGACTGACAGTAGAAAGGTAGGTCTGTTGGGGTTTTATTACTAAACAGAAGCAGACAGTAAATATCTTTAACAGTTCAAGGAATCTTGTTTCAGTTGCTGGTAGCTACAGTACTCTTGGTTCATCCTCCAGTACACAAGAAAAATACATAGCAAAAGCATGAGCAAAATCACAATGATGAGAACAGACCTAGAGATAAAGGGACCCAGATTCTTCTTGCAAACCCAAAACCTGAGTGAATCATAGTACACCGAGTATCTTACAGGGAGATACACACATCTGGTCTTTTCCCAGGATACACTGAGACCACATTCTTGCAGAAACAGGTAAACACATGGAATGAACAAAAACTGTACTTGTGTATGGTATCATCTGAATGCTTGATTACCAGCTAAGCAAACAAGGTCATTTTTAGCTCACAAGAAGGTTATTTTTCCACAAAAAGAACCCTATGAAAAAAGTCTGGACAAGGACCCAAAGCTGCAACAGGTGAGTCCTGCTTTAAGAAAGGTGATACATTTCCACATCAGTGGTCACCTGTATGTTTTAAGACTGAATAGGAGAAAGCAGCCCATTCCCATCTTTCATTCAGGACAGTGAACTACTGAGAAGTATTTTCTCCATGCCTCAAAAAAGATATTTCAGACTTTTTGAGACCAAAGAAAGTTATCAGGATTTGACTCACTGAACTACCAACTCTTTCTAACACTACCCCTACCACAGAAGTCATCAAAATTATTTGCACTGCTTCAACTGGAGTTTTAGAGACTCTTCTGATTTAACAGCGAGTATTTAGATGTTGGTCAAAAAGCAGAAGAAATACTAAAACTTTTCCATCTGCTGGAAATTTGTTGTTTTGTTCTGTTACACAGCAATCATACTTATCACCTGTTGAAGACTGTTCCCTTAAGTGAGAGGAACTTTAAAGGTAATGAGTAGTAAACATGTAAGATGTATCATAAACCCAACTGTAGAAGCTTTAAAGCCACTGAAAATAAATACCAATTATTTACCTAAAAATTGAGTACTATAACGCTGGTAAGTTGAGCAATAATTGCTACGTCTTATTAGTCAAAGATGGTGTTATTGGCAACATCCCTTTTGGTTTTGAGCTTGCACAGATGTGGTGGGGGAGGAATAAGAAACCAACAGAGGGACCATGAGGACCTCTGCAAAACTAGAATTTAAAAAGCCTTCAGACAACTTTCTAAATTGCTTAGAGTCCCTACTTAAATTAAGCAGTTAATGTTTTAGAGTACCTGCTTAAACCAAGCAACAAATATTAATATGATAACTTTCAGTATTTTCAAGCTTTTAAAAATAAGGAGTGTTCTTAACTCTTCAAATATTTAGTACCATACAAGTACATCTTCAGATTTATTTCTATTTTTATTCTACTCACCTCTGAACTTCTTCAGGAAAAGTGGCACTAAACATTAGTGTTTGGCGTTTCTCTTTTTGTGGCATGCCCGGGAAAGATACCAACTTCTTCATATCTGCACCAAAACCCATATCAAGCATGCGGTCTGCTTCATCCAGCACCAAATATTTCACATTATGCAAACCAATCTGCAAGTATTTCAGTCAAAGAAAAACACTATTTGTTCACTGACAGTATGCACTTACAAAATACCTTAATTGACAAAAATCCACCTTTTACTTATCTCTTTCAAGTTAATAAAAAAGGTTTACATCTCAACCACTACTTAGCCTTTTATTCTGCACAAACTCACACACCACAGTGCTTCAGAACTTGGTTCAGTAATGTAAAAACAGGGCTTAGAGACCAACACAATTCAGCCCATCTATTTTGGAATTATGCCTTGAGTTTTAGAAAGGTTCTCTCACAACCCTCAAATATTCCCAAAACCCTTTATTTTTCTGAAAAATAATTATGTCAGAAAATATTAAGAATATTACAACTTCACCCCTGCTGACCAAGACTATCACTTTTGACTAAAAGCCTGACATCTGCAGAAAACTGATCTCCAGTTTACTAGCAAGTGCTTTTCCAAACTATGTTTGTTCAGTGAATATCACTCAGTCACCATACTAACACATAAAAGTTTTAATATTAATTTATAATGATTGGGCAAAATAAAAATTCAAATATAGTATTATATAACCTGGAGTTCTTTGTATTTTGGATCAATATAAAAATATAGTGCCAGACAGATAAACAGCCACAGCAGCAAAACAAACAGGACATCAAGTGAGTATCTACCACAGAATATGCCACAAGAACTATGTGAAAGTGTTCCAGGTATTTAAGCTATAAAATTTTATTGCCATCACCAATGCAGCCCCTTTGATTTAGACTGATATTATCCAGCTGTCTCTGAAAGGAACTGAAGAGATTAGACTCAGGCTACTCCTTGAAAAACTTCATGGAGTTTAGACAATCTAAGAAAACTTCATTTGTATTTCAGTGCCTGTACAAATGCAGCACACTGAAAGAGCCACTGAAAACTAATCTCTTCTTCTATTAACTTTAAAGAATGAAAAATAGTATTTTGTCTTTTAGGTAAGAGTATTTAGGGAATTCAGATGAAGTGTTAAAATGTTACCTTTCCTCTTCCAATGATGTCTAGAAGCCTTCCTGGAGTGGCACACAGTATATTACAGCCTTGCTCTACCTGACGAATCAAGTAGCTTGTTTGTGTACCTCCATAGATCACAACAGGCCTTATACAAGTTCTATTATGTAGAAAAACGTTTGGATTAATTTTAAGTATGCTAATGTATTGTTTAATGAACATTCATATAAAATAATCAGATCTACCACAAATCAGCTTAAGAGTGGTTTAACTCCTTCAGCATACAGCTCAGCCCAAAAACAGTGCTCAAAACAAGAAACCCACTCTGAATGAGCCTAAAGTTCCCCACATAACAGAGGTTGCCCAAGTGGCTTGCTAGGAACAAACACTTGATTTCGCTTACATTCTCCCCTCTCTTCAACTGAGACCTACTAATAGTCAAAAGAGTGTGAAGACTTTGTCCCCTTCTATACAGCATCCTCAGAAAAAGCAGAACCACCACTACATATGCCTCTAGAGCTTCAGAAGTAATCTTCACAGACCTTAAAAGGGACAAAATAATAAATACACATGGCATCTTCGTAAAGCAGCTAATCACATTGGCCATACATGACTCAAGGACTAGACAGCAAATCCACCCAAAGATGCAATGCTCTTCTCACCAAGCTTTTTGGTTAGATCTGACAAGTAGCTACATCAGATATTCTTCTGTAGAAAACCACTTCTCTAAGCAAGACCTACCTTAAGCAGCTCTGAATCATGTTTACAAGCTCATCTTTATAACCTTCTGCTAAGATCTTTACATGCATGCAATGAGTATTTTCACAATCAAATTCAAATGGTCTTTTACTGAAGATACTAATTCAGCTTCATATGCAACAATGGTGATCAGACAGATCCGGTAAATTTTTACTGAAATTAAATACAACTTTTCAGAAAGCTTTAGTCAGAAATAGAAATTCCCTCTCGAATATCACAATTTCAGTATTTATCTATAATTAGTAGACATACATATTTCATATTCCTAATTGCAAATTAAATCAAAGAGCCCAAGATCATAAATCTCAACTGATCAAAAGGCAAGCTCTTCTTTAGACACTACAGATCCACATCCTGATACTGTTTAACTTGTTCTCATTTTCACTACAAGCCAGCAGTAAGAGAAACTTTCTAGATTTAAATGTTATTTCATGATGAAATAATCTGTATCTAGTTTAAAAAGCATAAAAAACAGAATCAGCTACAAAGTTATGTAACAGTTTTAGAGATTAAGAAGCTGTTCTTAGGAACATATTTAGTAAGTAGATATGCAAACATCTTCATTCTTCCTGAAGCCAGACAGCCTCCAAGTGTAAGTTTGTTTGAATAAAGGCAAGTATGATTTGTCCCACCAGATTCTGCAGCAATGATGTTCTGTATTTCACCTACAAATAGTAACAAATCACTATATAACATAGGTTTAGTTCTCTTCTGTACCCTGGTAAAACCTATTAGTAAAAAGATTAATGACAAATCTAGGACAAATGTACTCTCACACAACATTCAAGGACTTAGTGAGAAGTTTAGATCTCTTGCTCTGTTTTGAGAGCTCAAAGAGTTTCTTTGAGCTGTAACATGTCTGTCTAAGACCATAAACACCAGGAAGTAAGAGTAATTAGAAACCATCACTGGAAATTAACTAAAACCCATAACACTCACCTCCATTTTGCCAAGATGAAAGCAAGTATAAACTACATAACACAAGCTATTAAGTTTGCTCATATTGAATACATCTAGTGCAGTTAGCTCAGTGTGCAGCTGCAGTGCAAGCTGCAGACTGACCTCTAGGTGGTAAGAAATCGCTGGAGCCCAGGCAAAAGACCATGAACTGGTACTGACCCTTTACTTAACAAAGGGCACATGGACCTGCATCACTAGCCAGGTCACCAGATGCTCAGACTCTGCAGGAGCAAATAACTTGTTCAGAGGTCCCTTCAAGAGACACCCTGATTGAGCTGTTATACGTTGCTGCAAAACAATGAAATTACTTGAAGGAAACAGAGGTCTGAGATTCTGCTGCGGGAAACCTGGAGTTGAATCAGTGAGGAAACCATGTGACTCTCCGAGTGGTGTGTGTAGCAAGTTAAGTCGGGCAGCAAGCAGCTCACTAGAGCCACCTGCTGCAAAGGGACTTTGGTTCCAACAGCTGAAGTCCTTGGTGGTGTCGGAGTGACTGCCAGAGTGGCTACTGGACAGTCACACAGAAAACTTTCTTAGCAAGTCTTTTAAGAAACTTCATTTTTCTCATCAGTGATAAGCTGAATACTTATCTACTCTTCAAGCTGGAGTAAGCCTTCCATTCACCCACCCCAATATCAGAAAGATTAGGCACTAGTCATATAGTAAGAAACCAGCTAAGCAGTACTATAATCTGAACTCATTATAACTAAACTCAAGTATTTGTAATTTGATTGACACAAAAAAATGGCAAGTATTTATGAAAAAAATAAAGCACTGCTGATTCAAGCAAAGTAATCATCAATATCAGACAACAGTGCAAAAGCTTACCCATACACGAATTTTCTTGCTTCTAGGAAAATCTGATATATCAGTTCTCTAGTTGGGGCAGTAATAATACATTCTGGTTCTTGCTGTTCTTTAAATGCACTGGCAGTTACACCATCCCTCATCATTTGGGCCACAACAGGTACAAGAAATGCTGCCTGGGGGAAAAAAACCACAGCAGGATTTGGGCTGTTTAATCTTAAAAACTTTCATCAGTCCCATTAAAACATGTATATCAATCTTAAAGCTTGAATGATCGTGTACAAGGACATCAGACTTTAGAAGGATTGACCTGAATACACAAGAGAACATTTAAGCTTATTTCTCCTTGTTAACCCAGTATGAAAGCATATCTCTGGATCTTAACAGTCTAGTAACACAGGAACACAATCATGCAGAGGCTAGCTTTCCATACAGTTGCATACACTGATGACATACCCTGATAATTAAGTCACCCAAGACCAAAACCTACCAGAATGGCAGATCAGTTTGCAACACAGCTGCACCACACCAGCACACTTACTTCCACATAAGACTAGATACCCACAAACCTGCATCTGTATAGCAGTTCCAAAAGCATTCAGAATATTTAGAGCACAGACTTTGGATGTTTCCCCTTCTCCAAACAGAAGAGGTCTTTTGAAAGAACTAGTTTTTGTTTTAATCTACCTTAAAACAAAACTAGAATTCCATACTAAACTAAACAGCAAAATGCTACACTTCATAACCAAATATCCATATCCACCAGCTGTCAGTCATTAGGTTTGGGTACATTAGTTTAAAAAAACTGAGACAACTTTCAGCTTAGTATCAACTCTCAATACTGTTCATGATTAAAAGCAAATCACCTAAAATCAAGACAGGTGTACATCAGATTTCATTAACCAAGTATGACAAACCTGCACAGCACAGTTACACTCTGGCTGGCATAAGTTTGAAGAAACCGAAAATCAAAACTCACACAAAACTCCTACACACACAATAAAAAATAAAGAAACAAACACACACAAAACAAAACCAAAAAAGGACAAAAAAACCACACAACCACAAAAAATAACTGCCAACAAACAAACAAAACCAAACACACAAACAAAGGAACCCCACTAAATAAGATAAAATTCCACACAGAGCAGAAGTCCTTACTTTCAACTGCTGAGTCCAGTCATCAGCAGTTTCTAGGACTGCCTGCCTATACTTCTGAATCCACTGCTGTATCTCTGAAGGCTGGCCTGCTGTACCAAGACAGTAGTTTACTGAAATAAAGCCCACAATTTGACAACCCTATCATAATAATTTGTATCTGTCCCTGATACCTGCCATTGCTGTGCAAGTAAAATTACTGGACAACAAGCAGTCAAGCATGTGACATGTGGAAGAGTGACGCACTCCCCTGAAAGCTCATAGTCGAATACTTTCTGAAGAATAAATACTGCACAAAATGCTCACAGTTTTTCCTGATCCTGTCTGGGCACATGCCATTAAATCCCGTCCTGCCAGTATAATAGGAATGCTGTACTTCTGCACTGGAGTAGGCTTCCAGTATCCAGCTTTAGAAATGTTCATAGTTAAAGTATCACACATATTGGTGTCTGCAAAACTCTGTAACAGAAAAAATTATTAAGTTATTACACAATCACAGAAGGTATAAGTTTAAAACCCAAAATGCTTACTGTAGGATAGAGACATCCAAATACTAAAGAGTGTTAACTTTAGAGGTAGTCTCAGTCATTGAGGTTGCCAAAGCTGCTAAAGGTAAAAGCCCCAAAGGTCTCTAAAACCTGCTCATGCCATTCAAGTAACATTGAATGCAGGACAGTGAACGCTGTGAACGCTTTTAGCTGGTCTTACTAGTTTTAAGAGAGAATTGCTCAGAAGTCCTATACCTGGATTCAAGTAAGTAAATTCACATAGCATGCTACGAAAAAAACCCTGAAACTCTGTTTTTTCATTTCATGTAGAAGCTACACATGATCTCTGTGCTAAAACCAGTAAGGGGAGCTAAAACAACATTCCTAGCCAGAACCAAAAAGCAACACAGGTGACAAAAATCAGTTTAACTTAAGTGAGAACACCTCCACCTCTTCATTATCTCTTGAAAGAGAGTTACCACTAACCCCTCTCCACTTCTCTCCTCATTCTTTTCCCTAAAAAGAGCTTTTTGCTTTTTAAACACAGGCCACCAAATATAGATAAAAAACTAAGTTATATGTAAAACAATGAACTGCAACCACAGAGAACAGAATTACTTTAAAACACCCCTCTGTCCAAATGAATACTACCCAAACAGGTGCTCATTTACACTTTTGAAGACTACCCAGTAATTTACTTCAATAAGGTAATTATACCAGCCTATGAAACTGCTGCCAAAGACCTCTTTCTTTCAATATCTAAACTGGTATTCTTCCACAATTTAATGACTATTCTTCCTATATATCCAATATTACTTTCTCTGGACCACTTCTAGTTTGTTAGTTACTGTGAATTCAAATTTTTATCATTCAAATTGAGAGCACCTCCTTCCAACATCACATTATCTGCAATATTTGATATTTTTCATTAGTATTTTCATTAGCTGCCAATACTGAACCCACTACAATACTCATAAATCATGCTTCACATAAACTGTGAGAATAAACAGTTTACTAACCATTAATGGTGCTGGAGCGTCCTGTCCTGACACCTGAACAGTGTTTTCATCATACTTGTCAAAATTCATTCCTGTCTGATAACGTGCGAATATGGCTTGCTCATCATCAGGTGGAGGAGGGGGCACATATGTCACCTTTGGACCTTAAGAACACAACCACTTAAGTTCACAAGCAATATAAGGAGAAGTTAAAACTATTTTAATATGAAGCTATGGATGTTAAAATCAGTGAGATGTCATGTGGCTTTCCCTCCATTTTTTCAGGAAGGCATTAAAAGTCCATACATTCCTTCTATCACAACTTAATTTTATACTACTAGACCTAAAATCTACCTCCATATGAAGTCAGACTCGTAAAGCATCCAAGTCTCACATCCACTCAAGGACCCCACTTTCAAGAGGTATCACAAAATTTTAATTAATTATTTATTTTATTAAATTAAATCTTCATCACCCAGACAGATACATGCTCGTATGATACAAGGAAGGACAAGCTTCCCACTCAACAAATTACTCTTTCTGAAGAGCTCTCTCTGTATGAATTCCATACAGATAGATGCAACTGTTGCATACCAGTATCCAGAACAGTTTTTAATACACTAATACTTCACACTATAGCAATGAAAAAGGAATTACTATTCTGTGTTAAGGATACAGCTATGCCCACTATAAGCACTAGCATATTGCCTCTATAAGGACTTAAATTCCCAAAAATCATTATTTAAACTAAAAATATGAAAAAAATAGTTGAACTGAATCAAATAGAGGCAAATCAATTGTTCTTCAAACATTAAATATCACTTCTGAACACGTAGACTAATCACTGGATCACAGAAGGGTTTGAGTAGGAAGGAACCTTGAACATGATCTATATCCAACCCCCATGCCGCAGGACAGACATCTTCCACTAGACCACATTGCTCAAAGCCCAACTGAATGCGCCCTTGAACACTTCCAGCGATGAGGCATCCACAAGCTTTCTAGTCCATTGCAATGCTTCACTGCAACTCACCCTCTAAGCAAAGAGCCATTTAGCCATCTTTTCTACAATGAAATTTTTCATTATTATCACACAAACAATGTTCTTACATGGAGAATATCAGCCATCCACTGACCATGACCCTGGTTTAATTCCATTCCTAATTTGAATTATGGTACTTCTGTAAGTAATATATTATTATACTCTAGGTAGGACAACATATACGTAGGCAGGTACAGTAGCATCAGTGGCAGAAGAATACAGCAGGACTATGGGGGGAAAATTGTTAGCAAAAAACAAAAAAACCCCAAAATGAAAACAAAGTTAAATCAGGAGTAAGTGGCCTGTGAGAGCTATACACCTTACTTGTCAGCACTAACAATAAAGTATTTTCTCTTACACAGAGCAGAAGGGTAAAAATCTAGATCAACTCTTTCAAAACATAGCAAGTTCTTTAAGGCTTACTTTCACTTTTGGGGTGAGCACCTCTGCTTCACTGTGCATTAACTGAACCAGCCTCAGCATGAGAAATAGAAAAGATTATGCAACACTACAGCTTTGAAAAGCCAGTAACTAAAATTCAAATGAGTTACAAACATGTCTTATCCAGGCATACAACTAAGATATATAGCATTTGCAGAAGATTCTTAACAGGGAGAAAAATTAGTGACAGTATTTGCCAGAATTAAGAAGGAACAGCTTTGTCATTGATCACCAAAGAGGAAATCCATACAGTTCACCCCTGACACTAAAAAGTCTTACCAGCACCATCTGTGAGTATTCCCCTTTCTCTAGACTCAGGAGTTCCAGACTGAGGCATCTGCCTACCTCTACCACCTGTACATAACAGACAATAGCACATAGAGGATATAAAATTAGTATCATTAAATACTAAAATTGAAGCAGTACTATTTACTGCAACAAATCTGAAGAGCAACAATCTCAACAACTCCAACCTATATTGTATTATAACCAGTAATATTCATTTTTTAAAGACACAATTCATATTCCACAGCACAGCTGAAGAACAGAACTAGTAGTAGCAGATCTCAGTTCTTCATGGTAGTTCTCAGGGAGCAAAACAACCCGGGAAGATCACCAACCATACACTGTGCACATACAAAGCACTCAGTATGAAAAAAAGACCAAACCATCAGACTTACTGTCACCTCGTCCAAAGCTACCACAAAATCCTTTAAACTCTCTGTTTTGTGTACCAGCCCCACCTACAGCCTTTCGTTCTTGAAAACCTGCAATAATACAGCATTGCACACAGTAACTCACTTTGCCCACTTCTGCATTAGCACATCAAGTACCTTTTATCTGGATGAAGAAGTCATTTCAACACTTTCACTCTTCACGGCTCACTCTCAGGGAACGAGAAAAGTCAGGAAGAGTGACCAGTGTATGCTGCCATCATACAAACCAGCCAATACAGAAAACTTGCACTTACCTCGCCCAAACCCCTTAAACCCTCTGGTTTGTGTAGTGGCATCTTCTTCAATTCCTTCTTGAAAACCTGCAGTACAGCATAGCACACAATTACTGAAGCTTGCCTAATTCTGATGTGCAGGTCTGGCCCCTTGTATCTGGTAACTGCTGTTCTCAGTCCTTGTTTAATGATTTCACAAGAACTTTAAGTTACAATTGAGTGCTTCGCCTAAACATATGAAAAACTAAAGATGGGAAGTACTTCTTGCCAAGAAGCCTGACAGAAAACAGTACTGCTCTCCTGTACAATTTCAAGAAGTAAATCATACATTCCGTCTTTTAAGTATTTGTTTTCATATGTGTATATGCTCATCAAACCACTAACTTCAACTCTTCAGGAAGGACACAGATCAATTAAGACTTCTGGTTCCAGGGCAACTAACAGCATTTGTCCCTCACAGTTTTCTTAACTGGTAGTACAGAGTAAGAGGGCAAAGTCAGTTGTTTCTTGCTATGAAGTGAGGACTCGAAAACATGTCTCTCAGATCTACAAAATTCTATTTTTTATTACTCAGAATTGCTTATTCAGTTGACAGTAAGTATGTAGTGTATTTTTATTTCTAATGCTTATCCTTAGTCACTCTTCTAAGGGAAAGAGAAAGGAAATAAAGATATATATATAAACATAAGTCACATGCATAATCAAGGTATTCCTCAATTCAGGCTGAAGTTTCTGGATTTATCAAAGGTCCAAAGAGCCAGCTTAGATCATAATTTACTCCTCAGTCCTTATTTTTCAGCTGAACACCTGTTCTATCATATTGGAATGACAAAGAACATCATCAGGAACAGGACAGCATGAAGTTCTCCTAGCACAGCATCTGTGGCTCCTTCACCACCAAAGCCTGGTGTGTATACAAGTATGTCAGTCAGTTTGTTTTTTCCACATCAGTTATAGACATTAAAATTTTATCTTAAGGGCTGATATGCAAATGACAGCATCCTATGTATCCATAAATACTACAGAGCTTAAATACAGCTTGCAAGTTACTTCATAATTGCTGCTAGAAAGTCTACAACAAAACTGCTTGACATTAGTGCCCTGCACCAAATAAGCCTAGCATTCAACCACTATAACAGGGTTCAAGGAAAAGTACACAGAAATGGTATAGTACTTTTCCAAAGAATCAACTGTGCTGTTTTTGACTGGGATAGAGTCAATTCACTCCACAGCACTTGGCACTGGCCTGTGCCTTGGATTTCTTAGAAACAGTATTGATAATAAAGAGATGGATTTAGTTAGTGCTGAGCAGTGCTCATACTGAACTGGGGCCTTTTCTGCTGCTCACCCACCAGCACCACACAACAAGAGGAGATGAAGGAGCACAAGACAGGATGGGACAGAGCCAGGAAAGCTGATCCCATCCCACATCTCACCAAGCTTAGGCTATAAATCCAGGGAAAGAAGGAGGAAGAGGAGGGCACTCAACTCTGGTGTTTGACTCCCCAAAATATGGTCATGCATGAGGGAGCTTGACTTTCGTGGAGCTGAACCTGCCTGCTGATTGAAAGTGAATGGCAAAATTTAATGTATCATACACAACTAGCCATTAGAAATACAACCACTACTGGAAGTTACCTTTGGCTGCAAAATTTCTTTTTCTACCAAAACTAGTCACTGGCTGATGTTGTGAGTTCATAAATTCATCAGTAACAATAATAAAAAAAAAAAAATTAAGTTAAAATTCCAAGCTATCTTTGACTCATTAGCAGGTACATGTTACTATATAATTGCAGTAAATAAGGAAGCTCTGACAGTCAGAAAGTCTATTCGTTATGTTCTCTATATAATTTGATGCCATTATTCTATAGGGGCCCCATTAAAATATCACAGCAATTTTATATTTTCCCTTAATCTTGTACAATGCTCAAAGGACCAACTCTTCCAAACATCAACAAAGCCAAAAGTACCCTTCACATACCAAATGAGTCTACACTTGAAGTAAAGACAGATGAGGCGTCATTTGGTCTCTCAAGCAAGTTAACCTGCAGAAAGAAAAAAGGCACAACAACACAACGACTTTAGGCCTAGCAAAGCATTTAAATACAAACACAGTAACCAAGTCATGCACTTCAAAAAAGCTGCCTTCTGCATCTTCTGAAAAATGCATTTCACGCTAAATGGCACACTGGCCACATCTGAATATTACCAAAAATCATAATACACACAGCTGATATGTCAAGCCCACTTAAGCAGACAACAATCACTAGTATCCAAACAAAACACCACCAAGTAAATTGCTAGTGCAACGAAAACTCCTCTCTTCAGTAACAGCGAAGAGAGGAGTGGCCTATGGCTGCCTAACGCATTTCCAATCAGGAGAACAGGGAACACCACTGCCCAGCAGCCACGCAGGCTGCAGGGACAGGGGTTGGAGGAAGGAAAGAGAAAAGACACAAAGATACTCCAGTGCCATAGCTGCCCCTCCCACGCATACCTTCTCAAGGGATGGGAGTAACGCCTCGGCCCCTATCTCCGCATTCCAGTCTTCTTCCATTGTGTTGCGTCCTGCCAGACCTGCTTTCAGGAGACAGACACATCAGCGGCCGCCTCCCGCCAGGCTTCGGAGCGTACCGCGAAATAACAGAAAATGGCGCCCCGCGCAATAACAGAAAATGGCGCCCCGCGCCGAGGCTCGCCGACACGGGACGCCGCCGCTGCCTGCCGGCGGGGCTGAGCACGTCCGGGCCGGGCGCTGCGCTGGTGGGGACGGTGGAGGTGAGGGTCCTGCCGCAAAAAAGCACCCCACTTCCCTTAGGGCAGCGCGCAGCCCCCCTCCTACCTCCTTCCTCCAGCGCCAGCGCAGCGCGCCGAATGAAGATGGCGGCTGACGCCGACAGCCCGCAATACGGCCACATGTGCCGCCGCCGCCACGTCACGTGTGGCGCCCGACGGCCAATGGGCGCGGCGCGGGCGGGCTCCGCGGGCGCGCCCCGCTGCTCTCACGTGCTGCCGCTGAGGCGCGAGTGGCGCCGCCAGGGCCCGTCGCGGCCGCGGTGGCCGAGCCGCAGGTGCACGGACTGCTTCACTGCGGCAGCTTTTCCGAGCATTAGCGTCATACCCAAGGACACATGTGCTTCTGCTGGAATATACAAAAAAAGAAAAGGGGGGAAAAATGTGTGAAATAGCAAAAACAAAACAAAATTTACTCCCCCGGATCACCTCTTTCCCACTGTTTTTTTGTTATACCAGACTTGTCAAAGATAAGAAAGGTAGCTGAATTCCTGGCTCAGGACATGATACTGGAGTAGAGGAGAACATGGATTGCGCTCTTGTAAGGTCAATTCATCTACTGAAATTAGTAGCAAGTAGTCTGATGCTGCAGTTTGAGTTTCCAAGTTACCAGTGAAATGTGTGTCATCTTGTATCTCTTCATGCTGTGAGACAGCATAGCATCCTTATTCATAAAAACATTAAGGAATGCCCTATGTAATTTCATAAACACAGTAAAACACATTAAAACCTGCTCCACCATGTTGAACAGTTTTTCCTTGTCAGAAAAACAATTTGAAAAATGGTGTGTCTGTTCAAGAACTTTAATGCCTTCTGTTCCAGAGAGAGGTGACACCAGATCTGTATTTCTGCAGTAAACATCTGAATGTTTAGCAGGTGCTAAACATTTTGCCATCAAGGCAAATTCCTGCAGCAATTGGGAAATTTTGGAAAGTGGTCTTTGGACTAATGCTTTTGTTATTTTCTCATTAGCCATCATCTCTTAAGCCCTACCATTTGTAGATGTTCATTTTTCAGGAGCATCAATACAGGACTCAGGTTAGAGTGAAAAGTGGCTAAGAGACATAACCAGCTTCTCTGTCTCACAGGTTAAATCTGCACCTCTAGATTTTGTGTGTGTGTGTGTGTGTACAACGTGTATAGTGCTGGGAATTACCAGCTTTTAGTAAGTGTTCAGTCAGACACATAACGTCCAAGGATGGAGAATCTGCAGTGGGAGCATCTCTGTGTGAATGTGTTAAGCTGTTCACAAGTTCCCAAAGGAGCATCTGAAACTAGGAGTGAGGCTCATTAGTAAAATTTCACCCCCTGTGGTAACCATTTTACTTTTTGCCTAAACAAGGAAGCGGAGTAAGTTGCTTCATGAGCCAAAATGGCTTCTGTTTGCAGCACCCTGGAGATATGTTTTGGATGGTCAGAAAGAAAAACAGCAGTGCATCTGTTCTCCTGAGAAATTTATGGTTAGTGGCAGATGTGCTAGTCTGACACATCTAAGCCAAACTGCAAGGTTTCCAATTGTTCTTCCTACTTTCCAGGAACAGGTTAGCATTCCCTCAGCTTTGCCAGTGTAGCTTCATGTTCAGCTCTCCATACAGTTTAAGTTAATACTAATAATAGTATTATTAGTATTTAATAGTAGATATGGGGAGCTACTATGAATGCAGTCATAGTAGCAGATCTGTAATCCTTGGTGAGTGATCTCAGTTAATTTTAACTACAATCACATGTCACAGCCTCTAACTAGTAGATAGACTTGGATAGTTAGTTTCTTTCCTTATTCCTTTGATTCTTTTGACTCTTTGTAGGACACTCTCCACTACCTCCAGACTACTTTGCACTACACTGGGAGAAGTCAAACTATGATATTTTGTGAATGGCAAAAAATTCCATGGTAATGGTAACTAATTTCTTCAACTCAGAGGATTGTTTGGAGAGCAAAATATTTTTCCCCTCTACAGCTGCTAACAATTCAATGTAAACTATGGTGACAGCATACAAGTTGAACAAGATGTTTACAGACTACTCTCAAGGTAATTTTATCCAACCAGCCCTACTCAAGCAGAGTCACCTGCTTGAGCAAAACCAGAACTAAGTATTATCCAACATATGTAAATAGCATCTTATGTATTACATTCAAACATAATACGGAGTTGCGGCTAACCAGAAAAACATATAGAAGTATTTTACAAAAACTTGTAAGAATTTGCACCAAATGTGAGTGCAACCCCTTAAAGTAAAGAAGACGAAATCAGCAATGTAAACCTCATATTCCTCTCAGAGATGGGCTCCAGATGCTGATAACCTGCTGTAATGTCCTTTCCTCTCAGCACTGCCCAATAATGAAACCAGCAACTTCATGGTCCAGAGCAGCTGCAGAAGGGTAACCATAGCACCAAAAACAGGGGAAGGAAGCAAATATGTGCATAAACCCCATTATTCTTTCTTTTTGTGTAACAGTGGTAATAATGATCTGACATACAGAGTTTTGGTTATATTTTCAACAACTTATTGCCTTAGTTAAATAGGGAGTATACTTTCTCTTTGCCAACAACCAAGATTTTGAGCATAGAATAGTTTCTATATCTTAAATGCTATCTTGATGTATTATCAGTGCCTTTCAGAAAGAAACCTGAAATTTTCTCTAACAAAATGCAACACCCCTCCAAGTTTATTAGCTATGTGACCATGCTCCGTTTCATCAATGGGGAAGGTTATTAATTCATCTACTATAATGTTCCATAATGCCTCAATTTTATGAATTTGTGCATATTACAATTATAACTGCAAGTGCAGAGTAAAGTATGCCTTGAGGCAGTAAAAAGATGATTCAACATAGCTTGAGATGGAAATTTCTTAGAACTGGATTTAATAATCCGTTTGTTTTACAGATTTGCCAATAGCTTCAAAATTAGTTTAGGCTCCCATTTTTCTAGGCCTTGTCCAAGCATGTAGAAAGAGACACTCTGCCCAGGAGGTAATGTGTCATCAGAAGAGAAAGCCAGAATACAAACACTGAAGGACAGAGACTGAACAGCCTTTTGTGAAGTCAGCTGTGGCAGTAGATTTCATGAGGGAGAAGAAGGAATCTACTTCTGCCAGGCTTATAGTTCTTACAATAAAATACTTTCCCTAAGCATAACTCAAGAACTGTAATGAGTGACCAAGAATGCAATGAAATAGAGATCATCTACCTGCTATAGTATTAACTTACACAGATCTTTCACAGCATAGGACATAGAAGACAGGCCTGCAAGAGCGAGACTAGCAGCTTGCAAGGTGAAATAAAGTTCTTCACACACATCTACTTTTGTGGGTTTAATTTACTTTCATTGCACCAGCACATGGTGTTAGCATTGCATTTTAAGTTCCTGTTATAGCAGCTGGGCAGACTTCTTGACTCATCAACCAAAATCTTCTAATGGTCAAAGCCCACAATGTACACTTGGATTCTAAGAGTGCCTCAGAGGCTAAAGATGATGATGAATTTCCTGGGTACAGAAGTAAGAGTTTTGGTCCCAATGAGCTTGTGTGCAGCAGGATTTCAGGATGATTAGTAGTGCCAAGTCTCTGCTGCCTCATTTCCGTCAGCAGTCTGAAATTCAATTACACAGCAATTTTCTTGCAGGACAGCCCTGCTGCTAGCTGTACATTATGTTTTAGACTTAACTTGAACAGGAAGTACAGGAGGTGATTTCTGTGTAGTCTGTTTCGTAATATTGACACATGGGGAACCTCTCTGTCTTTCTTGCAATTCAGCAGTTTTCCCAAGCATGAGCTATAAATACCTGTAGATTCATATATTAACCATGGTTTCCTATAACAAGGATTATCTCAACTTGATTTAAGGCGGAGGGAGAGAGAGAGAAACAAACAAACCAACTCAGGAACAACCAACCAATCAACCATACCAATCAACCAAACAAACAACAACAAAAAAAACTCCAAAAAGCAAAAACAAAACAAAACAACCCAGTATTATTAATTTCTAAAATGTATTGCCAGACATACTGTCCCTATTGTTTAGTCTGCTGAGTGCGCTCTGCTCGCCTCGCCTCGCAGGTCAGGAGGCCCTGGACACATCACCCCGTATCCAGTCACGTGAAGACCAGGTTTGTTTCGGCAAGCATAATGTATGGATTTTATAACTATACTGACCATAAAAGCATGCAAGCAAATGAGTGTGGGGGTTTTGTTATTTGTTTTTAGGTTTTGGTGTTTTTTTTAGTTGGTTTGGTTTGTTTTTTTTTTGTGGTTTGTTTGTTTGTTTTGTTTTGTTGGGTTTTAAAATTATTATTATTAGCGGCATCTCATCAGCCAACACCAGCAAGTGCAAATCCTCCCGGCACTTGGCTCACGCTTGTCCGCATGTAAGACCCTCGCCTGGGCAGCCTAATACACCGCCCCGCCGCTTCCTGGGAATCGTAGTCCTGCGCTCCGCAGCGCCTGGGCGGCTTCCTCGGCGCAGCCGCTCCAGGAACTACGCGGCCCGGCACGCCCGGAGCTCCTGGCACGCCCGGAGCCTCCGCCGCGCTTCCTGTGGCCGCGGCGGGAGCGCCGCGCCGCCGGGGCCGAGCCGCGGGTACCGGAGCCGCGTCAGGCAGGTCGGCGGCGGCGGTGCCCGGGCGGGGCAGCTCGGCGGGAGCGGCCGCTGGGGGTCTCGGGGTGGCTCCGGAGCGCGGGAAGGCGGCGCCGCCGTGTCCTCCTCCGCGTCCCCCTTCGCGCCCGCCGCCTCCCGCCCGGCTCGGGGGCGCGACCTGCGGGGTGGGGGGGCCGGGCAGGAGCCGCGCCGGCCGCGGGCACTGCCAGCCGCAGGCACTGACCGGCCGCGGGCACTGACCGGCCACGCCGTGTTCCTGGGAGGACGGGCAGATCGTCACAGCGGGGGCGGAGGTACAGGAACGGCATGGAAGCTTTTCGGGCGGTTCGTGAAGCAGGGGAATGTTTACATCGGTTTTCTCGGGCCTGAGGGAGAACCCGTTAAGTTAAAAACAAAAATCATGCTTGAAATGTAACTTAGCCTAAGGTGGTACTGTTTCGTTTCTGTAAGTATTTATCTGCAGTGCCCACAAATATGTAAATTAACAAGCTTTATCCGTCCAAGACAAATCTAGGTGAACATGCTATTTTTTTTTCATTTTACTTAGATTTATCATT